GTGACAGCAGGCCGCCTTTTGGAAGTAGCTTGCCTTGTAACTGATTCTAACCTAAACATTATAGCTGAAGGCCCAGATTTAGTCATCCATCAACCTGATAACATACTACAGTCTATGAATGAATGGTGTATGAAACATCATGGGATGGTAAAGTTGCTTGTTAATCTAACTTAATATTTTGTGGTGGCAGTAGACCAGTTATCAGTCTACAACAGTCATGGACTTGATTTAAAGTTTAACACATTTCTAAATATCTTCAGAAACTTTTTAAATAAGCTTTGCTACTAAAACAATAGGTTTTTAAAACTAATGTATGGTAACTACCTGTATTAATATACCTTGATATGTATATTTCTTCAAACTGTATTCATAGCTTACATTCATGTTTCTGTGTGAAAAACAAGAGGCATTGAAAAAAAAATTGTGTGGGTAAGAAAGCAACTACCATTGAGATGATGTTTGTTTCAGTCTGGCCTCACAGATGCATCTCGAAATAGTAAGATTACTATTCAAGAAGCTGAGCAACAAATTCTGAATTTCCTAAAAAAGCATGTTCCACCAGGTAAAATGCCTCTTTAACCACGTAAATACAGTTTACAGTTAAATTTTTAAATAGGGAAGTATTACTGAGTGCACATTTTTATTCCAACAGGGAAATGCCCAGTTGCTGGAAATTCTGTTTACATGGATAGACTATTCATGCAACATTATCTGCCAGAAGTTGACAAGTACTTGCACCATCGTATTGTTGATGTGTCAACAATTAAAGAATTATGCAGGTAGGTCTATTTGAAAAACAGGAAAGTTGTATTTATGTAAATGGAATATATAAGTAAGTACAGTACAATTGCAACATATTTTGACTAAAAGTTCTGGACACTAAAGAACATACAAATAATGCTCATTGAGTTTCTTCCATGAATGTGGCTTCCCAGTAACATTCAGACCCCTTGGTAGCTATTACAGTCAAGGAGGTCTCTGCACTTTGGTCAAAATTTCTGTATTGCAACCTTTACACAAATTAAATAATTATTTGAGAAAAGTCAGTTTTAACATGAGTTAATTTTCAGACGATGGAGCCCAGCAATATTTTTAAAGGCCCCACCCAAGATATTGAGTCATCGTGCACTGAGTGATATAAAAGACAGTGTTAAAGAATTGCAGTACTATCAGTCTCATTTCTTCAAGAACGAATGACAAGGAATTACTAATTTTGAATAAATTCCCAGAAGTTATTCTTATAAAGCTGCAGACACTCATTCGTTAACATTTCCTGACATTTTATGCAGATGATGGACTGATGAAGTAACATACAGTGTATTTCTTGGTTTTACGAACAAAAGATTGTTAGATTAATAATGCTCAGTGATAAGAGTTCTGTGCAGTCTTTGTATTGATTTGATAGGTTATCCAAATTTGGATATACATCCAACAAAGGTTAAAGACGGAGGCAGTATGACCCCTGAAACGTTGGTTAACATCGACCAGACTACACAGCGCAACAACCCAGAAGACGGAAATCTTCAAAGGTTAAAGAATTAACAACAACCCAAAAAATAATCTTTGTTCTGAATCCAGGAAGGACCTCCTGGCTAAATGAACCTGTCACACATACCAGTGTGGTGACAGATGAGTATGAAGCATTAGTGATTAAAAAATCTGCCTCGCAGACACTTGTTCCACATAAATCATATTTAACGTAAGAAAAAGAAAAAAGACACAAACCAGGAGTTTAAATAACAATATCAGGAACAGAAAGATACAAATAAAGCAGGAAAATAAATGGAAAACTGACAGTGTACTTTCTATTACTCTGTAACCTTTATTGACTGTGCATCACAGTTTACATGCAGTCCAGTTGGTTGTGCACTGCACTAGCATATCGCTAAAGCATTAACCCCGGAGTTTAGATTTGACAAACAGCAGTATAGTACAGGGATTTAAAAACCCTATTCCCATGTGATAAGGTTAATTTAATCTTATATCTTTGAAAACAAAGTGCCAGTATGTGATCCCAAACATCCACAAAATAATAGTTTGGAAGGTAATATGAATATTAAAATCCTTTCA